GTCTGCCTTCGGCTCCGGTCATGATCCCAGGGTCCTGGGATGGAGCCCTGGGTCGGGCCCCCTGCTCAGTGAGGAGTCTGCTTCTGCCACTCGCCCCTGCTTGTGTTCCCTCTCCCTCTCAAATAAATAAATAAGATCTTTAAAAAGAACAAAAACAAAACCCAAAAATCAAGTTTGATTCCCACGTATCATTTCCAAAACCATGCTGCAGAAACTCAGTATATCCAAGTTTGACCTCAACAGGTGTTTGAAGTTTTGAAAAGGCTTCCCAAAATTCTAAGGTGGATCCCAAGTTTCATCAGATATGTAACCAAGAGAACTGGACTAAGCAATCTTTTAAGATATCTACCAGCTCCTGATTAAAAATTGGAAAGCAAAAGCCAAAAATGTGACTAGCTTGGACTACAGACACCTAATCATCTCAATGCCCTTTTTAGCTTACTATCAGGATTGAATCCATTATATGGAGGCACCAAAATGAATTTGTCGTGCTTGGCTCTGTATGAATATACAAACATGCCTAATACAATTCCAGTGTTTTGTAAACTAGCAGAATTCATGTTGTGTAACAGTCCAATATCCAAGACCCTCAAGAGACTGGCACCATTTTTCTTAGCGTTGAGGTTTATTAACCAGAGCCAGATTAAGACCGTCATACTAGAGACCATGGGCCCAAGACATAATTCCAAATGGCATCAACACTGAACCAGGAAATAAACGAAATACAAAACCTTCATTTCTCCCATAATTACTTTATGTCGAGTTCTCTCACTTTGTGCTCCCACTTTGCTAGTGCCAAAATGTGTCCAATGTGCCCCTTGGGTGGGAATTCCACCTCTAGCCTCACCGCCTCCCCAGCTAGGAGACTACACAGGGGGCTCCAGAAGGGGAGAACGGCCAGCCAGCCACAGGCCATCCTCCCCTTCCCTCCCACCACCCTCCACCGGATTCAGTGACACGGTCCCCTGCTGCAGGCTTCAGTGCATTTCAAGCCAACGGCAACTCGGCTGCTAACCTGGGAACAAGGCAGCCAGGACCGAAGGCACCAGAGGGGCACGCTGATCCCAGGAGGCCACCGCCAACAGGCATGAATTTTGCTTATAACTTCCCATCTTAATTTAACACAGCTCGACAAGCTCTGTCGGGATAAGCTCGCCGCACAATTCCACAGGACACTTGGGACGGTGGGCAGCAACAGGCCTCCGCCAGTGAGAGGAAGCAACCAGCAACAGCCATGTGCTCCCTCTTCCCTCTCGCCGCGCCTCCCACTCTTCCAAACGGGACGGTGTAGTGAGCGTAAGGGCTTTAGGCCAGGTGCTCCCAAACAAATTATTGTTACAACGTAAGTGCAAGTGATGCATCTGAATGGACTTCAGGAATCAGAAAACTTCAACAGTGAGGATCATAGCGTGTTAAACAGAACACCACCACTGAAGGCACTTTCCCAGCTCTTTTATTCCTTTAATATCTTAACAAAAGGTAGCCCAAAATTTAAAAAACCTTTGAAAAATATACAGTTGCATATTATTTACATAACATGTGAGTACAGGTTCCAACATCATACAAACATTGCTACGTTAGAAACAGCGGAAGGCATGTTATAACTCACTGCCTCCTGGATGGTGTAGGCTAATGGACATGCTTTCATATTTCAACCACCTTTGTCACCTGCTATCCTGATACATAGACTATTAGGCACCTGAGAGATTGGAAGACTACTGAACTTGAACTTCAATACCTTCTGTTGGGATCTTATTTGTTATTTTCAAAACTTACTGCATTTTAAATATCTTTACAAGTTTACTTCATCCACAACTAAGCTACCTTTATTGTCATTATCCTAAATGATCAAATATTAACCACACGAACCATTATGTGTATACAGTTCTAAAAATCGAACATAAGACTGTGTAGCCAAGTTGTGTCGGATAGATACTTAAACCCAGTAAATTCCCTAGTGCTTTGTAAGCCACCTAAATTCTGTTAAACAGAGGTGGCAACTCTTCAGTTTCCATGCTCTAGACTAGGTTTCTTAAAAATGCGTTAAAAAGTGACTGACGATAATTGGAATAATTGGTACCTTATAAATTAATCAAGAAACCTAAGATAAAAAATTCTAAATTAGTTTTATTTGTATTTAAAAATACATTGGAAATTCTGCATATGCCCATGATCAAGCTTATTTTCAAAGCACATTACTTAAATTTTGATGACATGGTTTGTTCTGACAAGTCCTTTTTCAAGCTGAACCCCGAACTACGGAAGCTCCTGTAGCTTTCCCCTCGCCCTGCCACCGACGACGTATACTGCGCTTCCTCACTAATGACGATGGACGGCTTTCATCTGCCTTTTATCACCTGAACAGTTTTTCGACCGTAATGATAGTAACTGTAAGCTGACGCAGCTGTGGTGAAAGCTGTGAAACACCTTTTTTGGAAGAAAGAAAGTTTAGTTGTCAAGTCTAAGACACAGTAACCATGAGAATCACAAAGAATACATTTAATAGAGTTATTTAAAAAGCAAAAAGGCCATGTGTGGGATTCTTTTTTAGCTCCAGGAATCTAAAGCTGCTGCTTTTAAGATAATCTCAAACAGAATCTAGTTAACGAGCCCGAAAAAAACAATACTGGCCACTGTCACCTCTCCCCAGCCGTTACTCTAGGTGTCTTATGCCACCGTTTTCTTTTCACAGCAACCTTCTCTTACAGAGCAGCAGATGAAGCCCCGGGGAACTTTGCTCAGGGCCACAGAACCGCGTCTGAGCCTCGTCCAGAGCCCCTGTGCTCTTTCCACTGCTCCCTGCTGCCAAGGGTATTGCGCTTTTATTTCCTGCAGAATTATCTGAGTCAAAATAAAATCCAGCTTTTGTTTGTTTTTGTTTTTTTAATGATTTTTCCTTAAGTTAACTGCCAGGTTCACCAGATTCTCTTTGAAGTTCCATGAGTGATGTGCATGGCTTGCTGAGTGCTCGTGGCCTAGCGGGTTACTTTTTAGTACACCCGTGCGTGTCTGCTTCCACCAGCTGAGCGGGAGATCAAGGCAACTCTGATCCCAAAGCTGTCTGTACCAGTTCGATCATCTAAATTCACACCTAAACCAATGCAACATACATGCAGGAAGAGCTGCTATATTTGAGAACTAAATGGGGTACTTTGGAAATACTTTATAACAAGGTGAGTTGCTAAAAACTGTCAAAATAGGCAATATGACTGTTGAAAGGTTGGAGAAAAATGGTAAAAATCTAGAAAGTTTCTATACTTAGATTGCTTTGTAAATGTCTTAAGTTCCTACATCACTTTAAAGAAACAGAAAATAAAAGCGTCAGTTTTTAGTACAATATGGATGTAGTTTAGTCAGGAAAGAGAAAACTCCCACAGACCGATACTCAAAAAAAAAGGCATCGGTCCTCTATCAAAAGATGTAGGATGAATCAGAAAAAATGTACACATATATTTTAGAAAATAAAATGTTTAGCGTGTATGCCATCTTTAAAGCTTCTTTAGCGCAACTGACTCTGGCTCAGACTGCATCAAGCAAGACTTTAATTAGAGTTAAAGTGTACTAAAACATAAAATACAGTGCTTCAAGTTCAATGTGGCACACGTGGACTCTGACAGATTGTATTTGACATATTTTCATGGCGATACATTTCAAAGCTATTAAGTAAGGATAATAAGATAAAAATCAAACTCTTTTCTCCAAGTTTCCCTCCCACTATGCCCCTGTGCCACTAGGCTGGATGCACTTTCCCCTACCCACTCTCCTATACCTGACCTTGCTCAGAGTCCGTCCTTCACCCCCAGTGACCTCCCCCAGTCTCTCCCTGTGTAAACCCACTAGGCCTCTTGCTCAAGTGCCACTTCCTTCCTGAGGCTTTCCGTCCTATCCCTACCTGGAATCAAGTATCCTTCCCTCCTCCAAAACCCCAATACTTTATCTATACCTCTCATCCCTTTTAACTTGCATGAAAACTCCTGTAATTTCTATATCCCATGCATGATAGTAAACTTCAGAATAGTATGTCATAAAATATAGCCCCCAACTTTACTCGGTTGGTGCTCCATAAACATGGTAAGAACCAAGTAATTCTAAGACTGTCACAATAAGCCATTTTGTTGACATTCTCAGAGAGTAATTCTACACTTAGCTTACCACAGTATCTGAAGATAAATGCTGTCAGCATAATTGAAAACTGGAGCTGCCAAAGAAGCTGCCACCAAGATTAACTGGACTGCTGTGTTTACCTAAAAAAAAAAAAAAAAAAAAAAGTCATGAATGAACAGTGCCAAGGAGACCCTGCTTCAAGCTCAAGAGACAAAGGCACAGCCCATCATGCTGTAACATGATGTACCCTCGGCGTGCCTGGTGTTGTAATATCCTTGCCAAAGAAGCTGGCATTCACTAACTGGCTCATCTGTCTGCACAGGTGCCCTTTACAGTGAGGATAAGGGCATCTGTCAGAAAATACTACAACCTTGCATTTCCACAGCAATTTAATAATGTTGAAACGTTCTTGGCCTTTTTTCAGCTGTCTGTTAAAATAGCCCTGTGGATATGGAAATAATAAAGCTACCACTTCACCGGTGAAAATGTAATGAGCTAAGTGACTTGCCTGCAGTCATAGCAGGTTACAGGACCGAACCCAGAACCTAGACTCCCCAGCACTTCACCCAGTGCTCTCCTTCATTTGCCCAAATGTCAAACCCTAGGAGGTCAGAAAATTGAAATGCGTTCATCTCCATGACAAGAGGCTCTGGAGGAAGTAAGTATGTTCCCCTACCCTACAAAACAGCATGGAGGAGAGAAGGACGAAAACAGAACCAAAAACGCGCTGGAGACTGCCTACTCATCCTGAGTAGCGTGCTGGGGAAGAGGGTGTGAAGGATGAAGCCGTGGGAAATGTGCACAGAAGCATCTCTGTTCTACCGTCCATTCTGCAACCAACAGACAAGGATTCCACTTCATCTTAAAAAATTAAATAATAAAGTTGTCTGGAGAACTTCTTGCACCTCTCTTGAGTCCCTTTCTAAGCAGTGCTACACTCTAACTGCTATACCTGATACAAACGTAAGTCACTTGAATCTAAAAAAACAAAAAAACAAAACCCCATAAATGTAGGTAAAAGTCCACCCCAGGGAGTTTTAGATATAACAGCAACAACCCCTCTGTCCCAAAGATGATCTGTGTCCCTAACCTGTTAAACTTCTGTCACAAGGGACAGGACAAAAGGATGATTAGAACGAACTTATCAAGGCTACTAGGAAAACAAAAACGCCCAGAGAGGCATTAATGGTGTGTTCTCTGTATGCAAAGACTGGCACAGTTCCTGTGCTGAAAGGGGCTCGGGAAAACAGGACGACTAACTAAGAGTAGCGGCTGTTTGTGAGTAAGTACAACTTTCTCCTATCCTTTCCATGTAATAATCAATGGTGAAAACGAAGGGCCCGATTTTACGGTGTTTCCACCACAGAAAGGAGGGTAATGAAACTACAAAGGAACCTCCATAATTTCTCTATAGCTCAAGCAAGATACGATTACATTTCCACCCCCTCCCCCAAACGGTGACCCTAATACCTCATTTGGGGACTTAAATGCTCAGACCACCAATGCAAAACACAATGCATATACTAAAGACCCAAAAAGCTCGAGGGACAAAAGAACTGGGTTAATGACCTCACCCTCTATCTCCTACAGTCAGTGCACTGAAATATGTCCCATTTTCAGCTGCTGCAGACTGAGGTTTGTATTCATTATAATAAACATTTACAAGCAAATAACTTAAAAGGATGTGCGTGTCTCTTACCTTGCTGATGAAGGTTGGTTTTAACCTAGCAGTGGCATAGCAAGGATTGAAATACTTAGAAAGTGTTCGCTGGCAGAGGACAAAAAGATAAAGTTTATTCAATTTATCATTCAAGTTTAAAACAATCATTTTGTTATTATATGTAGGTAACAGTTACTGAATATTTACACCATATGCCTGGCTCCATGCTAGACAAGCCGTTTATCTGCATCTTCTTTTATTACCCTAAATGAGCAGTGTCTATATTCCTTATAAGTCATACACAGGTTACTGAAAACAGACTTTTTTAAATTTATAGATTACTCAATCCCTAGAAAACTCTAACACAGTAACTATCCTAAAGTCTGCCTGACGACATCTGTTCTCTAAATAAACTCAATAAATCTCCCCTATTGCTATTTTTTTTCATAGACTAAAAATAAAATGAATAAGATCCTGCTATTTTCACTGGATCGAGAACCAAAAGATAAGGTTATTATGCTATGCCTATGTGCTCAAGTATCTGTAGAGCAATGAACAAATATGCAAACAAACCATTCTGTGTTCATACAACTGTGATTTTAAAAACTAGTTCCAGACAGTCCATGGTAGAGGCTAAATCAGGCAGCAAAGGGGCTTGGTTACACAAACACTCCTAACAGTTTGCTGCTAGGGACAGGGCAGAGCTGGTCTGGGTTTTATGTGCTATCAACTAAAAAGGTTCTGACTCATATACATGCCTTTTTAAAATTGTTCATTCATGTTTTCACTGAACAACTACCACTGTGGGTGATTCAAATAGCAAGAGGACACTTATGTGTGGTTTTAAAAAAAATCTTGAAAAAAGGATCAAAAAATAATGGCCATAAATTACTCCCATAAAGTGGAACTCGGGATACAACACAGTGGGTTTTTGGGGGTTTTCTGCCTTAAGTTATAAGTAATAATAAAAGGATTTTTTTTAAACAGACTCACCGGTGTTGGAAGAGTTCGGTATCTGACGTAAAAAACAGCAGCTATCAGCATTACGTCTCTCGAAATTATCATATAAGTAAGTGGAACTGAAAACCAAAAATAAAACAATTTTGACTGGGATTTTGAAACTTACTGATATTACACATACAAAAAAGCCTCACTCAGCCTTATGAACTGGTACTTCACAGAAATAAAAATGTTGTAAATAAATACTTATGGATTTGGTTTAGGGTCCTTATAGTGAACCACTGATTTTTATATTCTTCTTCCACCTACCCTCAAACCAAGTGAAGGACTATGTCTGCCTTCCAGAATGTCAATCCTCTTGCCTCTTCTCCTTCTTGCATGTTTTCAAGCTGCAGGTTATTAGTATTAGTGTCGGCTGTACTCATCCCCCACTATCTCCTTTGTGACCTCTCAGCCTTGTGAATTTGGAAAACTGATCACCAGGCTTACTATACTTACCTACGGAATGAATGAGATGGTAGACTGGAAAAGATACTGGAAGACTCAAACTACTATGCCGATTCGGGAGCTCTGACGGCTTCTACATTCTAGACTATTTTATAAGCAGTAGAATTTTCTGTATGTAACACTTGTGGAAAAGCCAAATATTTTCATTCTTGTTTGGTCAGTTCCTACTGACCAATTACCTCCCAAGTAATTGCTATTTCTTCTCCTGCCCCATTCATTCAATGAATTCTAACTTAAAATTCTAACTTAAAAAGGATTCAATCTGTCAATACTTTTCTCATTATTCTTAAGATTCTATAGCATGGTGGCGCCTGGGTGGCTCGGTCAGTTAAGAGTCCAACTCTTGATTTAGGCTCAGGTCATGATCTCAAGGTCATGAGATCAAGCCCCATGTTAGGCTCCATGCTCAGCATGGAGCCTGCTTAAGATTCTCTCTCTCCCATCAAAAACTACTGATGTAATCTATGGTGATTACCATAACACACACACACACACAAAAAAAGATTCTCTCTCTCTCCCTCTGCTCTTCCTCGCCCCCTCTAAAAGATTCTATAGCATGGCCCCAAAGTCAGAGCCAGCAAAATATTTTAGACTGATACCCAAAAGAACCCCTGCCCCCTTGTTGAGTAACAATGGGAGGGCAGAGGTCCTGTTTCCTTTCACATCCTTCTATGCTATTGGAAGTCTTAACTATGAACATATATTGCTTTTATTAGAAAAAAATATTTTTTTAAAAAAGAAAAAAATCCTGAAAATTGTTTCAAACTAAAATAACAGGGTCATGTGTATCCCCCCTTCCATAATACTTCCAAACAGCTCTTCTATGAATTACTTTTGAGATCATATTTATGGTCCTCCCCAGTTCTGACATTCTATTCGTTCTGCAACTTGAGCAAAATCTTAATTACAGATTACAATTTAAATCTCTGTTGGTTATGACTATGATGTTAAGTATAGATCGTTGGCCTAGTCCTTGATGATAAGACTGTTTGAAAGAGAAAATGCTTATCTACCACTCAAGTCATGGCATTTGGAGCACACAGAAGACACAGCTGTATGAGCCAAATAACAAAACAAGCCAGCCACGATTTTTAGGAGCATTTTTTGTGTCTATAAAACAGACTTTTCTACAGCAATCATTAGCTGGCAAAATCTAACCATCAGATTTTAAGCCACAGCAAACTCATGCAAATTACATAGAGTAAACCTCCTAAACACAACTTTAGAAGAGAGTAAACACCTGTTAGTGTACTTCATCATCACAGGGAAAAAGAGACTAGGACTTAATCCTAAATAAGAAGTTTCTGCAAAAGAGATGAGGCAATTCAATACGCTGCAAGGACTTGGGTTGTTCTAACTAGTAACAACCCACATTACCATTTATTGAATATCTGGCACGGTTTTAAGCATTTCATACATATTACCATTTAATCTATATATCGACTCCACAAAACAGGGACCATCATCATCCCCATTTTACAAATGAGGAAAACAAGCCTTAGGCAAATTATATAAGCTGGCCAAGGTCACCAGTCAGTGGCTGGTACAGCCGGGACTAGTACTGTACCCCCTGTAAACAGTATAGGAAGCAGTACAGCCGGAGACATAGGGATGGAACCTAGGTCTATGCAATTCACAGCCTATGCTCAGGTCAGTGTACGAGGCTCCAACCCAGCCGTGTGAGTCGCAATTAAGCATCTCCGGACTCAGCTTACCTTCTGTAACAGCCTGGCGGAGAAAGGAAAGTTAACAAAAATCAAGTGTTCTCCAAACTGACTGCCCACCACAGAATCACCTTGGGAGAGCTTCACAGATGCACAGATGAAAGCTCCTTGGGGAGGGGCGCCTGGGTGGTTCAGATGGTTAAGCGGCTGCCTTCGGCTCAGGTCATAATCCCAGGGTCCTGGGATCGAGCCCCACGTCGGGCTCCTGGCTCAGCGGGGAGCCTGCTTCTCCCTCTCCCTGCTCATGCTCTTCCCCCCGCCCATACCTCTGTGTCTCAAATGAATAAATAAAATCTTAAAAAAAAAAAAAAAAAAAGAAAGCTCCTTGGGGGATTCGCATGCACAGTCAGGCTGGGACCCTGCCTCACCAGGTGATCTCTAAGGCCTCTCCCTGGCTTTTGCATCTTCTAACTGCTCCTCCTTTCTCTCCAACCTTCCCTTCCCTTTTCTTCCAGGGCTAAAACAGCTTTCATTTTGCCTATCAGAGTATAATAGTGTGTTAGTGAGGATAAGAGTGTATAAAACGTGTCAGGGATTGCTCCAAGGTTTTCCTCCCTACTTGCTAACCCTATCTGAAATAGGTAATGTCTGCAATAAAGAGGTACATTAGAGGCTAATTTTTTAGTATTCAAGAGAAATTAATAAAACAGTTACTTTTACATATCACAAGTGCTCATTATCAATACCATAGGTTATTGCACTGAAAAATAACAGAATAATTATTCCAGAAATTGATTCAAACCAGCAATAAGAATTTGCTATACGGCAAACCAGAAATAATACAAGATACAGGAGAGTCGTAATTTAGTAAATGTGGCAGAACAAACACACAAAAGTAGAAATTAACTTAGACTCACATCCCAGACTCTACAAATGTAACAATCAAGTTGTTTTCATCCTAATCGCTCCTCCCATAGAAAAAGCAAGAAGAAAAGCAGAATTATTTATTTTCCTAGCTGAGGAAGAAAGCACATTTCTTACTCTTGAGGAAACAGCTATTCAGATGAAGGTGGATGGAACTTTTACAAAAATGCAGGCAGTATAAAAGTAAGAAGATGCGAAATAACATATATACAGCTCTCCCCCTAAAACACGCCTAAAATGACAGTGAAGGAATAAAAAGACAAAGTCACAAAGAGAATGAGGAGAGAAGACAAATTACTCAGTTCTACGTCTGTTAGTAAGAATTACTTTAATTCGAACTGATTAAAGGTACCATAAAAAGCCCAACAAATCCCAAGCAAGATAAATAAAAAAGAAACTCATACCAAGATATATTACTATGAAACCATGGAAAACCCCAAAGACAAAGAGAAAAGCTGAAGAGCAGCCAGAGTAAAAACAGTTAACTTCAAAAAAAGAATGGATTAGCAGTTTCTTTTATACCAACAACAGAAATGAAAATTGTACGATGTATGTGCTGAAATGACTACCAACCCAGACTTCTACACTCAATAAAAATATCCTTCAAGAACAAAGGCAAAATCAGAGAAAGACAAATACTGCCCAGTATCACTTACATGTGGGAAAAAAAATAAAATAAACATAAAAATAAAATAAAAGTTGAAATAGAAATAGCAAGGAAAAAAGTGGCTGCCAGAGGCTGGAGGACGGGAGAAATAGGGAGAGGTTGATAAAAGGGTGCAAACTTCCACTTTTAAGATGAATGAAGTCTGAGGATCTAATGTATAATATGGTGACTGTAGTTGATTATACTGTATTGTATTAACTGAAATCTGCTTGGAGAGTGGAACTTAATATCCTCACACATACAAAAGAATAAAGGCAAAATAAAAATATTTTCAGAGAAACAAAGGCAAGAATGTACCACCAGCTGACCAATATTAAGAGAATTTCTAAACATATACTTCAGATGAAAGGAAAATGATCCCAAGATGGAAGGTCTGAGATACATCAAACAATGTAAGCCAGAAAAAAGTAAATATGAAGATACATCTAAATGAACACTGTAAAAACAGTATCATGTGGGTTTAAGAAGTATATAAAATTGAAGTATGGCAACAATAACCAAAGTTGAGAAAGCAGTAAATGGAGCTCAAGCAGGGCCCAGAGTGCAGATTCATTAACACTGAACTCTGATAAGGATGAATGATATAATTCTGAAAATAACTAAATGGAAACAGAGTATAACAGCCAAACTGGCACAGAGGAAAAACAAGTATAATGATAAAAAATCTTTACAGATGTTGAAAAGCACATATGAGCCAAATGAAACACATAAAATGGAAGACTGCTACACAAATAATGGATTAAATGTTCCAGTTGAAAGATAAAATATTTTTAGACTGGATAAAAATAAAGAAAACCCATCCGTCTTTCTGCTATTTATAAGAAATATCTAAAATATAAAGATACAGAGAAATTGAAAGTGACTTATCTATCAGGCAAACATCGACCTGATCATTATTGAAGATATGGAGGGGTCACACTTCATAATAAAACATTCAATCTACCAAGAAGACAAAAACATCTAATGTATATGCACTTAACAGCAGGACTTCAAAGACACAAAGCAAAAATCAGACTACAAAGAAAAATAATGGAAAACTAAACACAAAGGAAACTAACCTACTCTCTCTCTCAGTAACTGACAAACAAGCAGACCAAACAGAAAAAAAAAGTCAGTAAACATTTAAATGTCAGGATTTAAAATTTGACCAAATCGTTATATATAGAACATGTACAGCCCTAAATGCCAACTTTAGAAAAGAAAAGCTGAAAGAACTGAGTTAAATATTCATCTACAGCTGTGCTGTTCAATACAACAGCCACTAGCCACGTGGGAAAATAAAGCACCTGAAATGTGGCTGGTCTGAATGAGAAATGTAAAATGAAAACTAGACACTGGCTTTTGAGAGCATAGTATGAAGAAAAATTCACTAATTTTTTATAGATTATACATTGAAATGATAATATTTTTGATCTAGTAGGTTAAATGTTATTAAAATTATTTTCACCTGTTCCCTTTTTCAATATAGCTACTGGAAAATTTTAAAATTACATATATGGCTCCTGTTATATTTCTACTAAACAGAACCGATCTAAAGAATTTGGAAAAAGAACAACAAGGGAAACCTGGAGAAAGAAATAAAAGAGCAAGATTTAATGAAGTAGTAAGCATATCAGACAAAGCCCAAAGTTGGTTCTTTGAAAAGATTCATAAAACTGACACCCCTCTGTTAAGACAATTCAAGGGAAAAAAACAAAGACGGGACAAATAACTAATAAATCAGGATGAAAATGGGGGCACTGCTACATATCCTAAGGACATCAAAAAGTTAACGTGGATACCATAGTTAATGGTAAATCTTTATAAATGTAGTTGTAATGGACAAGTTCTTAGAAAAACACCATAACTTACCAAACAGACAAAAGATGAACCAGAAAATCTGAATCATCCTATAACAAAAAAAAATGAATCACCTATTTGAAAACTCCTTCCTAAACTCCAGTCCTCAATGCTTCAATAAGTTCAACCAAACATTTAAAGAAGAAATATTGCAATTTCAGACAAACATCTCCCAAGAATGGGGAAAAAAAACCTAGACTTCCTAACTCTTATTATGAAATCAGTATAATGTAAATTCTCTTGCATTTTCTACATTCTCAATTATGTATTGTCTGTAATTAATGATAGTGTATTTCTTCTTTTCCAATTCTTTTGCCTTTTCCATACTGCACAGTACAGTGTTGAATAGGAATGGTGTCTGTTTTGTTTCCAGTTTCAAAAGGAAAGTTATCAACATCTCATTATTAAATAAATTTGATAGTAAAACCTAATATATCAGTATCTTGTGAATACTGATACAAAATCTTCAACAAAATATTAGAAACTAAATTTAGCAATATTTTCATAATCTATCATGACCAAATTGGATTTATACCAGGAATTTCAGGTTGGTTTAACATTAGAAAATCAATAATGTAATCCATAACACATTAACAATTTAAAAGGAAAAAAAATGACTCTCATAATACATGAAGAAAAAGAATTTGATAAAATTCAATATCTAATTGTAATAAAAACTCTTAGCAAACTCCCAATAGAAATGAACTTCCATAACCTGAAAAAAGGATATCTATATAACCCTATAGGAAACATTTTATTTAATAGTAAAATGTTGATAACTTTCCTTTTGAAACTGGAAACAAAACACAGACACCATTCCTATTCAACACTGTACTGTGCAGTATGGAAAAGGCAAAAGAATTGGAAAAGAAGAAATACACTATCATTAATTACAGACAATACATAACTGAGGATGTAGAAAATCCAAGAGAATTTACATTATTAGAGTAAGAGTTTTTAAAAATATTTTATTTGATAGAGAAAGAGCAGGAGTGGGGGGAGAGGAGCATAGGGAGGAGGAGAAGCAGACTGCCGCAGAGCAGGGGGCCAGACCTGGGGCTCGGTCCCAGGACCCCAGGATCACGACCTGAGCCGACGGCAGACGCTTAACTGACTGAGCCACCCAGGCGCCCCTAGAATAAGAGTTTAACAAGTTTTGCTCGACACAAAAATCAACATCAGAAATATAATTGATTTTTATTCTATCAACAATAGGCACTTATTACAAAATGAAATAGTAAAAAGCTACCATTTAGAAAAGCATCAAAATTACCAAGCAACTTGGAATAAATCTAGCAACAAAATTGTTTAATTACCTCTGAAGAAAACTAACATTCTGACATTTTAAAAAGACTAAATGGAGTAAATATATCATGCTTGTGGACTGGAAGATCAATATTGTAAAGATATCAATTATTTCAAATAGATCTATAAACTCAATGCAATCCCAATTAAAATTCCAACAGGCTTTTCTGGGGAACTTGAAAAGCTGATTCTAACATTTACACACAAGGGGCGCTTGGCTGGCTCAGCTGGTGGAACGTGGGGGTCCTGATCTCAGGGTCCTGAGTTTGAGCTCCATATTGGGTGTAAAGATTGCTTAAATAAATAGACTTAAAATATATTAAAAAAATAAATTTTACACACAAAATGGAAAGGGGTAAGAACATCAAAGGTGGAAGGACTTGCTCTACCAGGTATCAAGACTTTTAGCAAAGCAGTAACAATTAAGGATGGTACTAGTGCAGTAACAGACAAATAAATGGAGAACAACTAAGTCAACCCAGAAATGGAACCATGTATGTATGGACATTGCACTGAGCCTGGAAAGTACAGACTTTTCAATAAAAAAATGGGATGGGGGCACCTGGGTGGCTTAGTCGGTTAAAGTGTCCGACTCTTGGTTTTCACTCTCCAAGTTGTGGGATCGAGCCCCAAGTCGGGCTCCCACACACAAGAATCTCCTTGTCCCTCTCTCTTTGCACCTCCCTGCTGCTTGCTCTCTCTCTCTCAAATAAACAAAATCTTTTTTTAAAAAAGTGCTGGGATAATGTGGTACCCACAGAAAGAGCTAGAAAATTATTTAGGAGAGATAATTTTTTCTAAACATCAACTAGAAAAAAATGTAAACAAACAAAAAAATCCTAAAAACTTTCCAATACAAAACATAACCACATATAAAGGAAAAGGTACCAGAATGGCATGAGACCTCTCAACAGCAAGATGCAATCTGGAAGTCTACAGAACAGGGTTTTCAAAATTCTGCGTGAAAATGATCTGCAATTGAAAATTATGCCCAATTGAAATCTCAATCAAGTATGGAGGGTAGAATAAAGACAAAATATTTTCAATGTCTTTAGAATAAAGACACTGTGGACCTCTAAAACTCTAGCTGCCACACTGCATCCTTACACAGGAAACAACAGGAGGTTGCACTCTAAGTTCTAAAAGGAAACTCTCAACAAGGAAGCCACGGGAACTTGGAAATATAGACCCAACACAGAAGTGAGACAACAGAAATTCCCAGAATAATAGCAAAAAAGAATTCTCAGCTTGCAAAGCAACCTACACCGATTATTTAGGTAAATCTCACAGCAACATTATCTATTATGCTAAAACCTGGATATAATTTCTTCGTTCAAAAGGGAAATACCTGATCAACCTTTGTAAAATAATACAACAAAATACAAAATAACTCTAAAAAATTGGAGGCCTGAAAGTATGTACACACATGCACACACATACAAGATCATTTGGATCTTGAATAATGTCAACACAATGCTCCTTAGGTTCCTTCTCCCCGCCCAAGTTATATTAGAATGAGAGTACCCCTGCCCCTTCAACACCCCCAACCATATATACACCAAAATTCTGACTTTCAAAGAAGCACATAAATATAAACATTAATCCAGTTTATTTTTTAATTTGGTATGGGAATTTAAAAGCCTAAAAGTAAGAGAGAAAAAGATCCTCTAGATTGAGGAGACTATACTAGACTGAAATGCCATTACACTTCTTCCTATCAAATGGCAATAATAACATGCTATCGAAAAGACCATGTGGCAGCGTTTGCTTCATTCTCAGATTCTACTTCTAACACTTGGAAATTAAGTTTAATCTAAACCAAGGGAGAAAAACTGAGAAATACAGCTTAAATAGAAAATGAACAACCAGAAAAGCGCATGCAAAATAAAAAGCAAAAGATCATATTTTGTTAGAAAGAGTATTCAGATAATGAACTATATATATATATGTATATATATATATACATATAATTTGAAATTGCATAACAATGTCTAAGTAAAACTAGAATGTGAAATTTTATAAACATTTTCAGGATTTCAGAGCTCTCATTTTTTATGATTAAACTGCACTTAATAAGTAATAGACTTAAGAAAACTTTAAATTGCTTTCAAAAATCCAGGCACTAAGTAAGAATATAAAATACCGTTTCAAAAAATTCTAAACTAATATGAATTGGCAATGTGAAATAATACTTGCTTAAATTTAACTTTAAACAATCTAAGAAAACAACAGATTCTACTAGTAAAATAAGGACATAAATTCTAAACTAAAATAACAGCTTGACAAACAGTTCAATGGTTTAGAATTAGGGAAACAGTTTAAAGTTGAAAAATACACTTTTGGAACAAAAATTATTTGTCTCTCAGTCAAGAGAAATCCTAAACTGACTAATGGCATTCTTCCCTATGCTATTTAAAAGTACGCATGATGGCGTTCTTACCTGGAATAAGATCT